ACTGCATCAGTACTGTCCTTGCATGTTTTCCTTTTGATCACCAAAAAAGTGACCTTCCAAGCAGGTCTAAACTGTCCGCAACATTTTGCCAAGCAAAACAGTCACAGGAACAAAATAACAGGTGCAAATCTAGCTGCAACACTTACTCCACTGGTCTTTCAGATTGGAACTGCAACTGACTTTGATCACTCCAGCACACCAAAAAGACTAAAGGTTAGTAAAACCTGAAGTAAAAACTACCAGTTCCTGAAAACTTACGGAAATGAGGTCAAAGGCTTGATAAGGCATTTCATTGCAAGACATTGTGGTTCTAACAGGGTAAAGAGTAGCTTGGGAAACATTTGTTTTTTCCATTCTAAGCCTGGAATTGCCCTGATTTTTGGGCAAATAATTATCTCATCACTACACAGGGCACTGATTCACCTCTTCATTCCTCTTATATTCTTCTCCAAAATCCAAATTTTTTCCATAACCCAGGTCTAATGTAGCCCCATACAAGAGATCCTGCACCTAAGATTTAGCCAGGATTACAAACTCAGAATTCAAAGTCCTAGGCACGTGCATTTTCATTATATACAGCCAGAGGGTGTGTGGCATTCACAGCACTTTAAAAACTCTCTGGGCTTTCTGTTGCTCCATAATTCTACTGGGCACAAATTCATAGTAGTAGGGGGTACAAGAAGGGTTAACACCTCCAAACAAGAAACCCATGTAATATGATCAAGTTTCTGCATAGAGGTCAGAATCCTGACCTCTTGTAGCAAAACCAGCACAGGATACAGCGAGTGGATTTGGTATAAACTGGGGGTATGCACCTGTGCAAGTCCTTTGTGTCTCTGACTCTTTTTATACAACTGGGATAATAAGTCATCTTTTTGGCATGTTCACAGACCTATGGATGAAAAGCATTATTCAAGTGTTAAGAACAAATTACCATTCTCCTAAACTAAGTCCCACTGTTTTACAAAATGGATGACATGTCTGCCTGCTAAGACATTGCAAATCATCTCATTTTCATACTTGGGAAATGAACAGTGAAAATAATGTACACAAAAGAGCTGGCTATTACATTTTCTTCTGGCTTAGGGTTCAAAACTATTTTGAAGGAGACAGCTATCCTTACCTGAAGCATTCAAATTAACCTATTTTGCTACGTCTCAAAATACATTAAAGCAATCATTTTAATTTAAGCACAGCTAACTAGAATGGATTCTAGTGCATAAGTCTGATTTGACAGATAAGTTAATTAAGAAGCTTCCCAATCAAGAAAAAAACCTATACACAAAGCATCTTATTACATGCTTTAGAGCAAATATTTTAGGCAGTGTGATTATAAAGCAGAATACCATATTTGGAAAATGCTGTAAAAATACTAGGAAAGGTATAGGACACTGCCCACATTTTCCTACTTGAATACATAAGCTGCTATATGTAAACACCTAAGTCTCTTATTTTAAGAGGTGTTTGAACACAAGCAGTACTGAGGATGTGTGGACCTCTGCTGATTTACAACACAAGAAAAAACAAGTTTAAGTGGAAAAAGCTGAAAAAGAAACACAGCTTAAGAATAAATAGAAAGCAATAGGTATAAACAGAGCAGGCAAACATACTGTAAAAAAAAATTAAAAAATCAAATGAACACTGCCTCAGTCAAATTAGCCTTGAAAACTTAAAGTTGTGTAAAAATAACTTTCCTTCAAATAAACTTTAATGAGAAAGATTGTCACTGGATTGATTTTTAAAAGTAACAGAAACCTTTAGCTAAATAGTTTTCCTTCAATGACCTGCAGGTCACAGTATTTTTAACTTAACAACTCAAAGCTCACTAGTAATTGAAACTAAAGAAATAAAAATACTTCACACAGCAGGAAAGGAAGAATTACATAGAAAAAAGGGTAAATAATGTGTTACATTCTAAAACTCTGTTGAGAAGGCTAAGGTGATTAATAACACCACACAGAAAACCTGATTACATTCAGCTTTTGATAAACAAAGGGGAAATCAGACAAAATTTGCTGGACTTTAGTGTTTGAAGAGCACTTTGAGATGTCCATGAGAACAAGTTCTTTCACATACTGAAAGTGGTTACCACTTTCTGAACATCAAACTCACATTATGCACAAACTCCTTTTTCATCCATGGATTTAAACAGACTTTCTACGGAAAGTGACTCCATTATAAAGAAGTTAAAACTTGTACAGGAAGTCAAAAGTGCTAAGAAATAATGAATATGCGGTTTGATGTTCAAGTTCAGCTCCACAACATGTGACTTTTCACAAAAACAGAAGAAATGAACCTCAAACTCTTTTTGGTTTTGGCATCATCACAACAAAAGCAAAACAGGGAAACTGTTTAAAATTTCCTATTTGCTACATCTGGATTCAACTCGACCACTCTAAATCAACACCAAAAACATTAAGATACAAACCCACCTTCCAGAGCACTAGCAACATAAGATAAAAGATTGCATGTAACTACTTTAATTGATAACTACCTACCTTGAAAGAGAAGACTTTCCCCCCGCATCTGTTTTTAAAAAGCAGATCCTGTGGAAGGAAATAACCACTACATTGATATTTCTGGGGGTTTTTTTTGGCTGCTGTATGTAATTTAATCTCTAATGGATTTTCAAACCAGTTACCCTCAATTAATTTTATACATCTGCGTTGATAAACACAACTTTAAAATCAAAAGCTGTAAAACAACTTGGCTTCAAAACAGTCATCACAATAAACACAGGGAAAATCTTTGCTTCTTTTCTCTTCAGTTTATTTTTTTCTGATGGGCACAAGCTGGCAAAAGGCATTTGACGCAGAATAACCTGGCCAGTTTCAGCTGCTCTTTAAAAAGCCTACTGGATTCTCAAACCAGCTACAGTGACTTCAGAACCTCAGAGTATTAGGATCTTCAGTTTAGACTTTTAAATACTGAACAAAAATGAAGAATACTCTGCTGTAGCTTGGTTTCAATACATCCACCTTACCTGGAGAGTAAACATGCTCTGATCAGTTAGGTTCATTACCATAGGTTCTTAAACACTGCATCTTTTCAGACTCTTACTTGCCAAGTTCAAAAAAACAAACACCCAAACCAAAAAACTTTGTATTTTGCTCATCACCGAGTAGTTAAAGGTTAGAAACATATTCCATTCTGTGTCAAGTCTATGAGGTCAGAAAGTGAAATCTTTCTTCCAGTGAAAGATTGTCTTGAGAGTCATGCCAGGAGCGGAAGAGTAATGGAGGAAGATTTAGTTTCATAGTGTGACTGCTCATGTTGGTAAGAGATGGCCATGTAGATTCGCTGCTAGTATGGAGCAAAGCCAGAAGAAAAGAAAATGGGAATGACACTGAGCAGTTTTACTGACATAGGTGCTGATGCCCTCAGTGTTGCAGGAGTGGAGGTGGTTTTCCCTTGTTTTCCATATTGCCATCAGCCAGTACAGCCTCACAACTTGCTTCCCTGTTGTCACATGTAACACAGCCCTTTAAAAAGGAACAAGAAATAGTAATTTAAATTCTTCTTTTTATGAGTCTATTTCAAAGGGTCAAATCCTCGACATTGAAACCTCTCACCAATGGGCTGAAATCTCTCTAAAGCAGAGATTATACAGATGTCTTATTTTCAGAAGCAGATACTTGCACCTGCAACTTACCTTGTCTCAGAGATTAATCCTTTGGTTAATGGAAAATACACTTTTACCTTTGAGATAAAAAGGTACGTGGCTGCCTTGAATTTGAAGACCTTATAATTCAGCTTTATAAGCAAGCTCCTCATTAAAGATTTGGACCACAGCCCGAACAGCAACAATACTGAAGAACAGAAAAGGCTGAAACACCCGAGTGTATCGATAGACTAGACTGTTCTGGGTTTTGAGAAACAGTACAATATTGAAATACAGCATCGAAACAGAAATCCTACGTTTCCTTCTACTGTCAGAAGCCTGGTTGTATTCACAAAATCACAATCTGCATTGGAAATATGAGTTACTGCTTAGGAACAGATTCAGGACCTCGGATAGAAAATACTGATATTTGCATACCAATACATCTTGTAACATTTGAGATGTAAACATTCAACAGAATTTTCTACAAGATCACTGGACCTCATTTTGCTATCTGAATCAAACACAATGTCCTAACTACAACAGGACATATGATTTTTATCAACAAGGTATTAGGAAAACAAAGATAATTTTCTCATCTTCTTCTGGAGTCAAGGACATAAACGTCTCAGTTTTTTCCTCTAAGAATACATACCACACATCTCAGAAGGCCACATTTGACAATCCTAGCACATACAGCATGCAGTGCTCTAACAGACATGAGACTTTTCTGCTGCACAAGTACATGAATGTAGCCCACTGTGCCTTGAAATTTTCTGTACAACTCAACATTGAAGTGCTGAGTCTTTGTGGGACTAGATCTGCCTTGCTCTTCTCCACAGCACCTGGGAGCACTCTAAACTGATTATGACATTCGGAAGCAGTTTAGCAAAGTGCCCAAGAATTATACCAGCTAATCAAGAGTAAGACACCACCCACAGTAAAACAGCTATTTTTGTGTTTCTTACTACAGACCCGAATCTCCTGTGATTATGAGCATTTTGCAGCTTGCTGAACACACTGTCTCCAATCTTCACTGATATACCAGCATTATATGCTATTCAATCACAGCAACAATCAATTTTATAAGAGTAGAAGTCCTAACATGAACAGAAAAACCATCTCCAGTTGTCTTACATGAGATCATGACACTATTCCCATTTATCCAACACCGTGACCAAAAGACCTTTCTACAAATAGTTCCTACGCAGAACTTGCATATCTTGAAAACAAAGAAATACAATGGTAAGACCTGTATGCTGGCATTTCTCAGGGTACTCGAGCTCATTTCCTGCTTATACTGACATTCATGACCCCACACTGTACGATGACCCTGCCTAGAAATGCCTTGGTTGGCCAAGGCAGGAATGAGCTGCCAAGTCCTCTCCCACCTGCTCACCTGGGTGCTGATCTGCAGCGGGACAGTCTGGGTCCGGATCCACGTATGCACCTCTGCAAGCTCCTGCTTTTGCCCATCTGTAAACCAAGGCTGCTGTTTTCGCATGACTGCCAGCTTCTCCAGATCCTGCTTTAAAACTTCCTCTTTAATTCTGCAGGTAACAGACACCTGTGAACACAGCTATGCTACACGAAGCAAGGCAGGCACTGACTATACTACATTGTGAGAATCTCTTCATCGCTACCTATGGCTGAAGCCTAGACAGCATCAGTTGTTGAAAGGGGACGGTACTTTGTACTTTATCTGCTTTGTAAGGCTCCTTTCAACACTGGTCTAACAGTCAGTGTTTTGTTTGTTGTTGTTTTTGTTGGAAGTTTTTGTGTGTTTGGTGTGGGGTTTTTTTGTTTTCTTTTATGGCTTTATGTGGCTTTACTTTTAATGTGGAAACTCATTACAAATTATAGATAAGCCAATTGCAAGCAACTTGCAAATAACCTGTATTTTTACCCCTTTATGCAATTCAAAGGACAGGACAATAACCAATCCCATTAACACTTCAGCAAAAACATCACATGTTCTCTTATTTTAACTGAGAGGGGAAATGGGGAAAAAGTAGACAAAAGTAAATAACCAGGGCCTAAATGGCACAAAAGTAAACTAACACACCTTCTTGAAGTTTCATTGGTATGCATGCTGTTTCCATGGTACATCATTTTAATTCTACAGTTCTACGCACAATTCCAAAGTACATGTTAGAAACTGTTCATGTTTTCCAACCTGTTTGGCATTTGGTAATTCATTAGAACTCGCTCAGGTGTATGATCCATCATCACCCAGGCTGACTCATGTTTCGATTTATAAGCTGTCTCTTTTTCTTCTGCTTCCTGCTTCCTTTCTTCTTTGGAAGTTTCAGAAGAATAATTACCGGCAAAATACTTTCTGCTTTTCCCACTACCTGCTGAGAATGACCATGAAAAAAATAAATGCAGATCCCCCAAAAATCCCAGTAATTCAGCACAAAAAGTAAAACACCACCATTGTATTCTTGCGAGTTAGTTCTGCAATGCAAACACAGATACTCCAAGATGACTGCTCTAGAAATTACTACCTATTGAGAAATCAAAGTGCATTTTTTGTTATTCAAGATCTCCAAGGCTCTATTCACTCTTCTCAAAATTAATTGGCTCAACTCCTTTGCTTCTGAGAGGTCCTGCTCTAGGTAGATTCACCTTTACTCAAATAAGATGTAAACCAGTATCTAATGAAGAGAAAAGTGATAATGAGCAAAATGAAAAGTGACTTGCAAGTGAAAGGAATAACTTCTTAGATTCACAATTCCAGCTACAGTGACTGAAACAAACTTGGCTTCAAATACTGGAAGTTGGTGAAAAGTAAAGGTTACAGATCCTCTTACAGGAATTTCCCATTCCCATTACAGTGCCTTATTATTAACTACATGCTAGCAAGCCATCTATCACCAAATATCTAACTTCCCTACCTGTGCCACAACCAGAAGACTCATTGAAGCTAGAGCCTAAAGAACCAGATAAAGCTGATCCACTGCCTGATGCTGCTGAACCTGAACCCAACTGGGAGTCCTCGTACAGACTGTGGTCAGGAAATTCATGAGAAGCACTGTTATCACTATCTTCTGGATCACTGTCCTGGAGACAAAAAGCAAAACCAACATATCCATGGAAGTTACATTTAAGTTTGCAAAAGGAAAGTCATGCATTTACTGAAATTGTCACGTGTTGACCAAGTTCTCCTATCAATTCAACAGATTTGGGGTTTCTAGTTCTGAAAATGAATGGCGGTCTATAACTCAGGCTAACCCTCTTCATGGGTGAAAAATCAACAAGCCTCTATTCTTGTTTACTGGTTTCTGCTATAAATCCTTCCCCACTTTGTCAAGATGTTGTGCTGTTGCATAAAGTTAACATTTTCCGCTGACAAGAGAGAAGCAGTCAGTTCCCTTCACATCCTGTTAGACGGCATGGAGCAGCCACACACATCGAGCAATGGTGCACTACAGGGAAAATGAGAGTGTCTTCCCCTGATTCACTATGTGAAGCAACTGCTTCAGCAGCTAGAGGTACACCAACTCCCCTTCCAGGACCCTACCCTGCAGTTTCAGCTGATCCAGCCTTTCCAGCCCAATCTGGATTCAGGAGCCAACATTTTTTTCCTTGCCTGCAGAGCTCAGATTCCTGCCTCTGAGTTTACCGCGGAAGTTGGAGAGGCCTTTTCTATGCCCATGTATGGAAACCGACCCACACGGATCCCTGTTCTTCGTTCATTAGCTGCATCCCTGGGAGACAGAGGGAGTAATTAGAAGAGTATCTTCCCTTTGTTTTGGTTCTCCACAGAGACTGTGGGACTGGGTGAAAAAGGATGCAAATTGCGCAGCACTAACCAAGTTCCACATGCATAAAAGCCCCAAACCCAAAATTCTAGCTGACAGTTCCATTGAAGAGGCTGTTGCCAAAATGCGGAGCAGAAGCAGCTTGTGGCAGCCTAAACCAGATCATCTTACGTTTCTGTCATTTACTAAGTGCCAACACTGTACTTGTACACGTTCCCATAAGTGCAAGTATAAACTGCTTTTTCCGCCTCCTGTGCTATTTGTGTCCCACAGCCTACATAGCACAGCCAAAAGAAAAAGCAGCTGACAAAATCTGTGTCCCTGAAACACAGATCATCACCACAGGTTCTGGTGGCAGAACACTGAAAATCAGCTTCTCCTCTACGTTAAAATTTTTGTTACTTACACTTTTATCTTCTGCATGTGGTTTAACATCAGCACTAACGGAAAGTTCCATGGGCTTTGGTAGCTCTTCTTGAAGCAAATTCAGCTGAAGTGGGGAGCTGCTCCGTGAGCTGCTCAGCAGGAGGGCCTGGTCACACTGGCCCTCTTGCTGGTCCTCCCTGGATGTGTGAAAAGAGGCTGGAAAGGGCTGATCCACACAGTGTGGTGCTAGTGGTGATGGTGCACAAGGAGAGGGGGCTGGAGGTAGTGTAGTGCATGGATATGAAGAGGGGGGATAAGCACACTGAGGGTTAGGAAGAAAGACATTTTGAGGCATCTGAACATACGCGGGGAAACTCTGAAAAAATACAGCCATAAATGTGCCTATGCTTGGGGGATAAAGGGCTGGGCATGACTGTGCTTTACAGCATAGTTGTGATGATGACAAGGACTCAGGTTGTAATGAGTGAAGGGCAAGTTCCTCTCCTGCAGAAGAGGCTGGAAAACTAGAGAGTGGATCCAAATAGACAGGAAACCCCGCAGGAGAATGGACATTCAAACTGGAGGAGCCCAGAGAGGACACTTCTGAGGGAGAGAACAACTGTTTCTGAATTGCTCTCTTCTCACATGGAAGATTATTTCTATTTTTACTAGAAGACTGGCTATCTGAGGAATGTCTCTGAGGTTTCTGGCGCTTCAATTTTCCATGTCTGCCCTTTTTACAGCTAGCTGGGCTCATCTGCTTTGAAGGGGAATCCCCTAAGAAGAAAGAAAAATAGATACATTCACTAAATGACAGACCTAGGGGGAAAAAAAGAAAAAAAAAAAAGAGAAAAACACACAGATAATTGAGTGTGGCTTAATCAGAGAGCTGACCATCCTCTGGATAATTCTTCCATAAATTACTAGTGGATTTGCTGATGTATCTACAGTATTTTCCTTCATGTCATCAACTTTCTTATCAATCACTTTGGCTTATCCCAATCAGATCTTTTACATTCTTTCAAGGAGAGGCAATAAACTACTTGGGGATTTGCAGGGTTTATTGCAATAACTATCTGCTTTGTGAAAGACAGTAAGATCCAAGATGGAGCAGACCTCCTGTGTGAGTAATGCTGCTGTCAAACCCTGCAGTTCAAAGAAGTGTTCTGTTTGCAGACAGAGTAAGACACTAAATCATACACAAAGGAGAACCTAGTTCCATGGCTAGCTTGCTCTTTTTAAGTCAGCTAGCAAGTCTTTATTTCTCAAAGCTGCTGCCTACCTTGGCCACAGGAATGTCTGTTGTTACTTCTGCTTCCTTGTTGAAAGTAAGTCCTAAATGGAGAAAGCAAGATCCTCTGTCGGAACCTGTCAACATAGTTCTGTTCCTCCTTTTGAGTGTGGGCTGACAACGTCTCCTTTGTTAGCCCAACTGGCTTTAAGTCCTCAGGTAACATAGCAGGACTCTGAGTATTTACAGGAGGCAGTTCAATTTGTTCACTTCCAACAGCAGTATCCTCCATTGTAGTCACTTCTTTGAAGAGGGAAAAAAATAAATCACTCTTTGCTCTGGCTTTCTGGTGTCAACTCCCACAACACCCAGAGGGTTACACAGAAAACAATCTCATCTGAGCTACCAAGTAGATACAGGCTGCAGAGGCAGCAGGAGAAAACACCCTTTATACTCAAATACAGTTACATTAACATCAACTGAGCAAATTATTTTGCATGGTCTGGAAAACTTCAAATTCCCTTTGAAGTTATAGGCAGTTCTTTCTTCATATTTTCTTAGTACAACAGCAGCTAAATACTGATTTTTATGCTTCTTCCTGCATTAAAATGAACTAACATTGGCCCATAAGTAATTTTGTTTTAATCCTCAATGGCCAAAAGCACATTGTTGTGTTTGAGGTATATGTGATGAAATTCAAGGGGAAAGGAAATAGTGCAGTCTGCAAAAACTGTTTTACTAAAATACTCAGGCTCAAGTTTTATTCACAGTGTCTCAAGAAGTATCTCAATATTTCAGAATTTGCATTCAGAAAAATGTATCTTAAATGGACAAAACTTTCTCACAGTATACTTCTGTCTGGAAATACTGTGTAAATTCAAAAACCAGTGAGTCAAGTCAGCGTTTTGCAAGTGTGAACAGTACCTGATTCAGGGTGTGGGACGTGCACTATAGTGCTGCTGTAGCTGCACTGGCTGGTGACAGACACCACACTTGGAGCCTTGTTGGACAGGGTCAGGTCTGCCAGAGGAGCTCCCACCATGCCTGCAGTTCTCTGGTCTTTCAAGGCCTCTTCCAGATCAGCAGATATTGGAGTGTGGGACTTAACTGCTGACAGCATAGCAGTATCTATTGGTAAATGACAACAAAGTTTCTACATGGAATTTCATTCCATGCACTACGCTCCCAATTCATCAAATCTGACTGGTTCAGAAATAACCAGTAACTATGTAGACTATTAAAGAAGACAGTCTTCTATACAAAAAAACATTCATATGCCAGTATATACGAAACATGGCATAAAATGAGTGAGCAACAGAAGGTTCATTTAGCAACAACAAACAATACTTCTTTTGATACATTCTACGTTCAAAGACTTAACATTGTAGCTTATGCTTAACTGCGAGATTTAGGCAAGGAAATATTTACCACACACCTAAAATATCGTTAGCAGCACAGCAATTTAAAAAGTGGACATAAACCTTGGAACACGTAACAATTGACGTATAAAAATTAAATCAGTTGTTGTGGTTCTATTATGATTGTCAGTACACTTTGTGTTACCTTCCAATGCCTGGACTTCCTGCTGACTTTGCTGGACTTGTTTGTCATCTTCTGAAGATGATGATGATGTATTTGCAGATGATTTACATTTCCTTTTCAATGCTGGAATACTGCAGCTCTCTAGATATCTGAAATGAAAGCATATCACAGGAAGCTCTCCCTACTTTATGTTTTTTATTCCATTAGGAGATATAAACATTTGAATAATCCAAACTGGAGATCCAGAGGTTGTTAACTAGTATTTTAAATTCACTGCAGGAAGTTCTGGACACGTATCTGCTTTCCAAGGAGTATTTTAAATAAAATCTATCACTCTTTGAGGGGAAAAAGAAAGAAAGGAAAAAAAAAGAAAAAAGATTATATTATCCACTGGGTTAAAAATACTGAGATTCTATAAATTATATCAACTTTCTGTTTTATATGGATATTCTCAGAGGGTATAATGAGAAGATACTGACATATTATGTCCATCAAAATTCACCTGAATTCCTACTGCACCAGTGGTGAAATTAGCAGTAGACAAATGTCAATAAATAGTTGCAAACAGAATCTTAGGTCCTAAATTCTTCATTACTGTATAATTCAGATTTAGCAATCCATCCCAATGCTCAGTCAGAAAGGGAGAAAACTTTACAAACAATCCCAAATTCATCTCACAACTCAAAACCCAGACAGTTTTAAGACTAATGCAAAATGCTTGGATATTTACCTTCCACCAAATAACCTTAAACTTGTATCACTAAAATTGCTTCATAGTTTATTACCTGATGATACTATCGACACAATTGATCTGCTGATAGGAAGGAATATGCGGAGTCTTCTTTGGATCATCATAAAATGTGTTGCCTGGTTCTTCTGTGCTATCACTTCTCAATGTCTGAAGAAAACAGGAAGCAGTGTGCCTCTTCCCTAGAATAGAGGAAATCTTAAAGATTCCTCCTTAAGGGCATCTAAACGTTACCCTCACCAAGACATACACAGATATATACATATATATATACACACACACAGGCATTTATACTGTGATACATATATATAATACAGGGATATATGGCCTATGACAGCACAGCTCTCATTACTAAGTTATTCTGCATTTTCATCTCAATTTATATGTTTTGAGGCAGGGGAAGGAGAAGGGGAAACTATACCCGAAATAAACCAAACCCCCACACACTGCCTTAAACATCCACTCAGAACAACTAGTAAACACAAAGAAAGTAGCATATAGAAAACGTCTGCCTTTAAATTGTAAACAAAGCTGTAATTAATAATACTCTTCTTTCAATTTATACATCACAGAATCCAACCTGCTATTTAACAGTAATTCACAGCTTTACGTACCATGGATACACTGGTCAGAGTTTTATCAACTTTAATAATACAGTCCTCTAGAACAACACCAGCAGTTAATAGTAACTTTATAATAGACAGTATCATAGTGGAAAATGTTTTAATACAGATTTCTATCATATTTGAGGAAGCATCCAGGTTTCTCCATATATTTGCGCTAGGTACTAACTGCAAATAATGTGCATTAGGATAATATTAAGCACTCAGTGACTAAACCCCTACTTCAGCGGGAAGTGAGGCAGCATTGTCAAACCTATGATTGTTTCAAAGAGTCCATATAAAGTAACTAAGGGAAGCTTTCACAGTACTTGCTACAAGCATATGTGCATTTTCACTAGAAAACGTTCAAATAAATAAAAAAGTAAGTCTATTAACCTAGAGACAAATACGTTCCTCCATATCTCAAGAAGCAGTTAAAAAGTTATTGCATCTGCTGAGGTTTCTTTAAGTGGTGACTTTGGGGTTTTTTTTGCTTGTTTGGGTTTTAAAGAAAACAAACCTCTTCCTGTGTTTAAGCCATGCCAAAATGCTGTCTGGAGTTCTTCGGCATCACACCAGCTAGCCAAATTCATGGTTACAGATCTACAGGAGTTCATGTTATCTTACAGAAGATAACTACATTAACTTACCTCCTAGCACTTCTGAGCTCACAGCCTGTTCATTTCCATTCTGTGGCTTGCTCCTTGATGCAATATATAGCTGCTGTCCCAGATTCTTTATTCGGTTGACATCTGCACAAACTTGTTGCAATGTCATCTTGAGATATGTGAAAAATGTGAAATCAGAATAATATGAGTGCAAAGAGGCCATAGGAGTTGATTTGAGTTCTTGTATTCTTCAAATTGAAAGTGAGTGGATTATCAGCCTAAGCCTAATATCTACTGGTATTTGTAGATTTAATGAATCCAATTATCATGGTTAATTTAAGTAAATTACCTGTAAGAAAGCTCAAACAGCCTCAGCATTTGATAGTTTTAATACTGATGACAAGTCCTGAGAGTAGGAGTAAGCTGATGACTTACCCAGGAGCCTCACAAGGAAATTAGGTAATTGCAATGCTTGTTTTAGCAGTCAGTGTTTTCTATAGCAGTCAGCAAAATTAAGAGCAAAACCCAAAAGCCAGCACTCTGTAACTGATCAATTTAGCTTGAATATAGCTGTGTTCTTCCCACTTCAGTAAAGTTCATGATGAGAAGTGCATATGAGAGTAAACATTTTCATTTTAAAAGTGCGTTTTTACTACTCTGCAGGCAGTGACACATTTACAGACTTACTGGTTCCTGTATTTCCTCTGCACAATTCCCATTGGAGTCACTTGAAGAAGCTATGCTGACATAGTGCTCATAAGAGCCACTGCTTCCAAGGCTTCCATAACCACTGGAAACATTGTTGTGAACTGGCTGTATGAGGGCGAAAAATAGTAATTAAAAATTCATGCTTTTAGAGAACAAACTGAAGGAAACAACATACTTTACAACACAGAACGTCAAATAAACACAGAAAATCAAGTGAAAAATTCATATTTGTCTGGGCTCTACCATGTGCTTAGGAAGAATTCTCTACCATACTTCAGACTGTTTCAGGAGGCAGATTTATCTTTCAACACACAAACCTGTCAAACATTTTTTTTTTGTAATGAGGTGGGCCTGTCTCCATTTAGAACCTTCCTTTCAGACCTTTTAAAAGGCCATCCTCAAAGTAGTCTGCTAAGCAGACTCAAGTTTCTTTAGCCTCTCATTCAGAAGACCATCCAGTGTTCTGAAATTCCTTCATCTTTTTTACCTGCAGAAGCAGTTTGTAAATTTGTCCTTGCAATTCTCTTATTTCTTTCTCCACGCTGCTCATTTCTTTACTTCTTACAGCAAAGACATCTTCATTCAGAGGGCTTCTGGAGAGAGCCAACAATATTTCACTATTCATTATAATTTGATGAAGAAAAGGTAGCTACAAACAGTTAGAACAGATTCTTTATTTTATTATCATTATTTTATTTTGACTGCTTCTCTGAACCAACAAAAAGGGATGTCATCTGTCCCAACAGGTGCTCTGCTGGGGTAGTGGGGCAGTGCTATGAAAGCAGGTGGGCCCCAGGGAAGTCAACAGACCAGCAGAGACCCAAGTTACAAGGTTGACAAGCATCTACCCTTCTGTCTCCTTCACTCAGAAGACAAATTCACACCCCATAAAATCTTGAATAAAAGATCACTTTGAAAAGTCAGAAGATCATCCCAAAAAGCCATTTCCTATAAGAGAAACCAGGTAAGAAGAATACAGTCAGTCATATTTTCAAATCTCCTGGAAACTAAGGAGAAAAACCTGCAAAATTAACTTGCACATTCAACACTAATTGCATTTTTAAAAGACACAACTTTGGTAAATATTTAGATTCTGTATCAAGTAAATGTTCCAGAAGAAAATATGCCAGAAGGTCAATTAATTGGGTGAGCCAATCATGAATTTTAAGTAATTATTTGTTAAAGTGACCTGCTTTTTATGTTGCTTTTTAGCTTTTACTCATCTAAAACTGGTATTTTGATTTAGACATGTCCATTGTTGCAGTATTTGGACATCAACCATATGAAAATACATGCTAAAAAAAAAAAGTTGGTTTTGCCTTTTAGTTTGAAGTAATTCACTTATTTTCATACTTCATAAATGAGACTAATGCTGTTCTGAAGGAACGGGCTGAAGACAGATACTAGGTAGTTATCACATTTGCAAGAGCAACATTATGTCTCTAGTTTAGTACTTAGACTTTTTTGTTTTGCAGAGTAATCAATGAAAAGGACTTTAATAGATTAATGCTACAACTGACTTACGTCCGGACTTTGTGTCGGCCAATGATGAACACTACTTTCCTGCTCCAAGGATTCACAAAACTGGACCAGCTGGTATCCAGTATGACATAATCCCCATTTTGAGTACAGAATCTAATAGGTAAATGTTCAAAAGGGGGTTGGCCAGCAAATTTCAGTACTGAAAAAAAACCCACAATGAAGAAACAAGGTTTAGTTTACATTATGACACAGTAGTGCAAGCACAAACACTAATGACTGGGGTCCTTAAAACTTTGTGATTCAATATGCTTTGATCTCAAACTGATTGCACTACATTTTTGTCTAGACTGCACATAAGTCACATGTCAAGCAATGTGATAGGAAAGAATTGTAAAACTTATAGAAATTCCTCTAAAAGCAACTGTACTTACTTTTCCGGTGAACGGTAATCATCAAAGGACGATCTTCCGGGTGCAAATACATCAGTATGGATGTTCCAATTAAATCTTGAGGTAAGTAACCCAACAAAGGCACTGCTCTGAAACCCGAACACATTATGACAGGTTATAATACAGTTTTGAGTACTTACATCCTTAACTCTTTGCTTGTCAGTGAAGGGCCCATGCACGATCTACAATGGAATGAACTAAAGCTACAGAACATTTTCCAACCTAATAATCCTCCACTGCAATACAAACACGTAAATACGAATGACAAACATTTCTGTGCCTGGAGATCTAACAGATATTCACACCTGCAGGCAGTCTTGTGCTTGTCTACATCAAAGGAAAAAAAAAGGGATCTTGAAAAAAAAGAGGTCATAGGTAAAATGGGAGTAAGAAATCTGACAGGCACAGTGCAAGATGTACTGTAAAAACAGTCTTGTGGCTTTGCAGGAGAGAGCTTCAGTCTGGCCAAACTTATTTGACCAAGCTCAGTCCAGCTGTGTCACCACTCTGATCCCCAGAGCTTGGCATTACGCACGTTTTCCACTGTGGGTGCTATCACAGCTCTCCACTGCCCTGGGTAACGAAAACTGGCTGTGGTTCTGTTCAATATGCATGTTACGACAAGGAAGGACATTACAAGGAGTGCAAGATGTTTTCTATGAGTGGACTAACACAAAATTGTTTTATTAACTATTGCCAACTGCATAGTTCAACTATCTTTACTTGGGTCTCTAGCTGTATCATCAAGGGATTTTTTCCTACCTCTCCATGCACACCTCACAGGTCTTAAGTCTCTCACCTGTCATCTATGTCCAGAAAAACACATCCAGGGGTGTGAGTGGTGGTGAAGATTCTTTTATCCATAGGAATTCGAGGAGCTAATAAAAACAAAATATGCACTAAGACAAAACCTAGGCATTACTTTTGCTCAGGACAGAGATTTACTGGCTCCTGACCTTTTTAATTGTTCACTGCTTTCTGACCAATTCATTACATTACAAAACATTTTAGATGTTTAGATGCTACAGACCTCTCTCCAAAACAAAAATAATGAGGAGAGGTGAAATGCTTTGGGGCTTGGCAAAAGCAGCAGAGATGCTCTGTATTCACACACATGCACACACAAGCTGCAAGTTACACAGGTGAGACTACCCAAGCACAAGTTCTAAACAGAAGAGGCAGACTTTCATACACTGCATTCACTGGAATCTCCTGACTTGCCTTCATATCCAGAGTGAATTTTCTCAGCCAAAGCTAAGCAGCAGGATTCTGCATCCACATGGACAGAAGTACACACATGGACCAAGTATGGGGTGATTCGGAAGGGGTAACAACGTGTTTCTTGTTCTTGGTCTTTACCACCCCTGAGGAAAAGTAAAAGGGATTCACACACTGTTTTTAAGACTCACATACTTTGTGTCAGGGCTTAGAACCCTGCATGGAGAAGTTATGCTGAGCACACAGATCCAGATAGTCAGGTCCTACACACACTCCCTTGTGATTCAGCAATACTGATCTCTCCCCACACAAAATCAAGTAGGTGTTTTGCCTCCAGTGCTTGCATTCAGAGGTTGTCTAGAAATACTATTCCTCTAATGGTTAAAGGCTACCTTCTAATTCTCAGTCCAAACGTATTCACAAGAACCATTCATTTGGTTTTGTGCTCTCTTTCAAGATAAACAGTTCTTTTTCTGTTTGTTGTTTATTCTGTACCACTCTTACAGAAAAAAAAATCTGACTCACTGAAGTTTTGTTTGACAGAGCTACGTAAGTAAGACTCCTCCAGCCTTGTTGTTATTCTTTGACTGCCCTCCATGAGAACTTGTCTTCCTAGACCACGGTGAACAGTAGCAGCACACAACACTGTAGATGAGATCTTAACCATGGCTTTGCAACAGCTGCATTAGCGATTGCCCCTTTCTATTGTAAGTGTTATAATTGCAGTATCTTACCCAGTTCTGACAGAATTGAGATAAATTTTTGGAGATTATCACTTACACTAAAAGTTACTTTCTTATTCCACACTTAGTTTTGTAAAATGATTCTAGAGAGAAGCTAGTATAATAAAACCTACTTCTGACACCCCTGCCTTTGGGAAAACAAAAGATACAAATGGAGATTGGATACAGCAGAAATTTAACTCACAGAAACCCATTTTCTTACTTAAGCCTACTGTGTTCCTGTGAAAAAATATTTTTATTTGTGATGCTAACATAATCAAATGATCTGTTATGTAAGGGAAGTAGAGGCAGATGTCTTAAGAAAACACAAAAAAACTACTGTAAAATGTTTACAAACAGTTCCCCCAACTTAACATTGCTATCTGTCCTGCTGTACTTATTCCAGGTGCCCTTACACAATTCAAGATACAAATGATTTTAGAGCTCAGGTTTTTGAAATACATATGAATGAATCAATGGGCAACTGAAAGATGGAGTAAATGTTATATCTGCTCAGAAGCAAACAGTTCTTACTAAAATCAAGAGATCGCCTGAGTCTGGAACAGAACTGCACTGAAGATGAAAGGCCAGTTTCAGGTTTTTTCTTCTTTTAGCTCTAAGATTAGTCAGGTATAAAGCAACAAACAGCATCCCTAGTGACAGCAAGTAGTATCTCAGGAGTCAGGTCTCACACTGGGACTCGGGCGACTGAGTTTCTGCTAATGCTTTCATCACAAACTCTCAAGTAATCTTAATCTTAAGCAAAATAATCTTTGCCTCCACCCCCAAACAAGATCATTCTTCTCCTGCATGACAGTACAGAAGGAAACTGATAGATCCAAAAGAAACATGAACAGTTTTCCTTCTATCCCCGTGCAAGTTTATGCATCATTCTGGGAAAGACACTCAAAGTGTCCTACTGGATGCCAATATTAAACACAAGAAGCCCATTTTGTAATGGAGTTTCATGAGCTCACACTGGTCAGCTGTAACAATAGAACAGTTTCTGCCTAGTATGGTACCCTTGTAATAATGTACTTACCTGATCCTGCAGAAAAAGGATTTCACCTGGGCATATTCATACAGAGAAGCTAATAAGAAGAACACATTGAAAGTATCAGTTGATATGCTCAAAAAGGTCACACCTATCAGAACTATTTTAAACTCTGCATTTTCCAGACTTTCTGAGCAAGACTGAAGTCTCACAACCTACTCTTCATTAGCTACTGAATTAGCTGTTCAACAGTCTGCTCCCACCTCAAATGTTACCTCTCTTCTTCAGCCCACTCACTCTTTGGGAAGTGGCTGACCTGGAACTAAATTCAGAGGAAATGTGTATGACCTAAAAAAAAAAAAAAAAAAAAAAAAAATCCTTTCTCCAGTGCATCACTATGAAAAGCAAAGTTGACATTTCCTGGCTTTATGAACCATGTAACAAAAACTATATACAGGCAAGAACAACTCCATTGGGGTGCCTCTGCTCTGCTGGGCAAGCACGTGACTGGCTGCCAAGTTGTGGAATCCCTGGTATGTTAGCATTTGCAACCTCCAGATGTCTCACCATCCTTTGACAGCAAGGACTTTGGACTTCTCAGATCTGATACCAGAACAGCCTCAGAACAACCCATGTCTAAGTGGGCAAAAGACACACCCGTGGAATGCAAGCTACACTTAAATTGCTCACAAATAACATAGGACTCAAAAGTCACAGTTTAGACACATCCGGCATTAAATAGCAAGTCAGCTTAAAACTTGGTTTTGGTGAGCTATATTCACAGCAGGAAGTAAGTGGACCATAAAGACAAAGCACCTAAGCAACCATAAGGTATAGATTAAACAACTTCAAACTCACAATTAGACCTCTAGTTTCTTTTCAAAAAGCAGCAGTATTTGGAATGAGTAAGATGGTACATGAAACAACGAAGTATCTGTCTTTTACTTACCCCAAGTAAGAGTCAAGCCTCTAAGAGACTAGCAAGAACTAATCCCACAGCCACTGCAGTTTTCAAAGTGGAAGGGAAACAAGTGTTGCTGATGTATACTGCTAGCATAAGCATTTAAAATGAACTACTATTCTACCCTGTAAAGACAGAAAGACACATAGCACATTTAAAAGCATTGCCAAGTCCCACCTGTTTCACTTTCCATGTTCCAAAGTGGCAGGTGAGAGTGATCCGTGTGTGTGTAGAACACACTCACATCCTGAGGGACAAGCAACTCCACAAACCGGGAAGAGTCCAACACTTTCTTCTTATAGTTTAGGATAGATGCTGCCTGCTCAGAAATATGTACTATGCGTCCAGAAAGCAAAGAAAATACAGCCACAAATGTGTCCTGGAAAACAAATGTTAAAGGCAATCATCCCCCCAAACTGTGAAGATAAAGAGCAAAGCAACCCCAAAACAAACAAATCAACCCCAAACCACCACATACCACAACCTCAGGATGAAGTTCAAAAATGTGTTAATTTAGCATCCAATTAAAGTAGTGTGTAAAATACTACACTCTCCAATGCCATAACAGCATACTCAAGATTTACAAATGCTAGTAAAACTGCAGTATCAAAACTGAAACCAATCAGAGCGATGCTTGTCTTTGTCCAGAATGACTGGTTATCACTCCACACACTTCTCCCCAAATTTCAGAGGGTTCACTACAATTCCACACACAAAAATACTCAGAGCTTTTCAAATAGCAACCATTTGCAATACTTCTGATACAGCATCTAACAGTATTGAATTTCAAAAAACACTCTTTTCTTTAAAGCAGAGCCAGAAAGCATGACAGATATCGCAAAACAAGAAAAAAAAATTAAATCCAGAGTACAAACAGAAAAAAAAGCCTGTCACAACTCTAAACTTGATTGTTTTTGAAAACTTTTTGCTGTTTCAAGAGATTACTACACTGTAAATGAATTCTCAAAGAGCTATCTGTTCTTGGAAAAAAAAAGAAGAAAAATTAGTATTTCTTCTACTCATTCTCATTGGGTACCCTGAGACAGCACAGATAAGTAGTAGTCTTGATCTAACTTTAAAACTTTAAGGCCTCTCTGGCTAAAAATTAAAGGCCTTTCAATTTTACACATTCTATTTCCACAGAACGATGTAAGGAGACTAAATAGAGTGCAATGGCAAGTGATGAACTTCTTGAGTGTGCCTGAATTCTTACAGTGTTTTTTGGAGTGTGTTCAGATGCAACTGCCACCAACTCTTCTATGCTGTATGTCACCACATCAGTCTGAAACACTCTTCGGTCATTCAGAGCCTGGAAAAAGTCATTGTTTGCTAATTGAAAAAAAAAACAAACAGAAAAGCAAAACAAACACAAGTAAGTCAGTAAGGAGACTACTTTGAAAATATTTCTTACAGCCCTTGTACTTTTGTCATCTTTTTGGTGAAGTCCAAGGTGAGATGAAGAAGGTCTGTGTAGTGACAAAGGGAAAAGGAATACTGATTATACTACTGGAATGACCTAGTTATGTTACAGAAAACAAGCATGAAGAAGTAGAAAGGACAGAATGTGATGGCAAAAGAACAATTTTAGCTACCTAGTTCTGTTGAAAAAGACAAACTATCCAATAATTTTTCAAAGCGGGATGGGAATGATGTTTTTTCAATATACACAGAAAGGTACTAGTAGGCACCTATTAGCTATGGGACTCTGAAGAGAAGCGAAGCAGTAGGTGGGTATTTCAATAGAAAAGATAACATGATTGTTTAACAAAAAAACCCAACGAAAACCCCACAGTGCTTCAGAAAGTCAACTGTTAGCAGGATAACTAGAATGCATTCTTTTGTTTTAATGCTATCTGTTGTCAGACACATCTATTCATACCGTGCTGCTGTTCTTACAGATTTTCTCCACACATACCTCGGACCTGCTGGACACACTGCAAGGCGTAGTTGAGAGCACTGATGGTGCTGGACTTGCTGGAATTCCTTTTCTCTTCAGGCAAACACCTTTTCATTTCTTGGATCATCATCATCAGATCTCTGTGAGACTGGCTCCAATTCAGCTGCTCACTGTAAAATAAAGGTTAAACTTTACCAGAGAATTCTGGTACAGAAGCTTTCTTTTCTATCACTGAATTAAAATTATTCACTAAACCAACATTTTATGGGATTGGCCGCAGCATCACACAATATCCAGAAACGTCTAATGCTCCTTCACTAAATTTCCTGTTGTATTTTTCTCACTTCTTTGCTACTTGAACTGTTCTCTACCTTCCTTGTTTCCAACTTGAATATGTCATGGATGGCAAAGTCCCATCAAAACCTCTCTGCTTCTCAAGATGCTTAGCAACTAAAAATAAGCTGATGTTTACTCTAGATTTTGTAAATCTCACTAGTATTAAAATCATTAATAGGTACTGATTCTTGATCTCTCTAAGTTTTTACAGCCTTCAAGTCTGCATCTGATTATAACCACCACGAGGTTCTCAAAATACACCTGATGCAAAGATTTCATTCCTCACATGACTTGAGAGTCTTCATTATACTTTTGAGTTGTTAGCTTCAACAGCTGCAGAATTGTTTAAAGGCAAAATCTCCCTCTTCTTACATTTGCTTATTTCAGTGACTAAAAAATAAGCAGTCAGTATTCTCAAATGAGATTCTAATCCTACAGATGGGATATGAACACGATTGTTTTTAATAACTTTTATCCATTTGACATTTTTATTAGTATCATACTCTTATTATATAAACCATTACATAGGTTCAAGTATTGCGTGTTAACAAGCCAGTTCAACGTTACATGAATTATAGATTTGAACTCTTTTATGAATTAAAAAATAAAAGAAACTACCATCTCACTGATTTTCTGAACTTCCAGGAAAAATATTATTTCAGTAATTTCTGCTTTGGTACCGCCAAATAAGGCCTTAAGATGAAGTACACACAGAAGCTACCACAGGGTCACTGCCGTACATGGCTCAGCCGATCTCAGACTCAGGCACATCTCAAGGAGCCGCGCAGCAGCAGCAGGCTCGCCCCCCTGCACACGCCGCGGCCCGTGCCCCCTGCAGCCCTGCAGTCCCCGAGCAGCCCCACGGGTCACGGCCGCGACGGGTCCCCGGGCACCCGCTCCGGCCGCCGCCCGCCCTGTTACCTGTTGGCTTTGCGGCGGCGAAAATGGCCGCCTGTCTGGACTCGCGGGCTGTGGAGCTCCGTCCCGCGCAGTCGGTTCCCGCAATGCCGCTGCACCGAGTGCCCCCCCCCGCAGCGCCCCGCGGCGCCGCCGCCGGCTCCCGCCCGGCCCCCGGGCACTGAACCGTGCGCCGAGCTGCTACGCGCTGCCCTTTCGCCTTCGCCGCGTCCATCTCGGCTCCGCTGGAGCGACACAGCGCGGGAGCATCGGCCGCCACGGCCCCCTCAGCACAGCCAGACCCTGGCGCCCGCGCGTCCTGGCGCCGCCGGGGCCGATGGCTGCAGGGAGGACACGCGCCGCCCCACGAGACAGCGGGAGGAGCGGTGTCCCCTCTCCTCCTCCCGCCGAGCGGAGCGGGCACCTGAGCCGGTTCTGCGCTCCCGCTCTGCTCTCCGGCGCGCACTCCCTCAGCTCACCGCTCGGGCGGATTCCTCGCAAAAGACCCCGGCTGATCCGAGCGGCTTCCGCTTCGTCTTCCCCGGCCCTCGAGCCCCCCGGACGCGCGGCCCGTCCCGCCGACCCCAGGCTGCTTCCCGCTCGGGCCGCGGAGCCCTCAGGGGCCGCGCCCCCGTCCCGCGCGGTTACGTAACGCGGCGCACGCGGCGGCCCCTCTCCCACACACCCGCCACGTGCGAACAGAGAGAGGAGGCGGAGGCGGGGTCAGAGCCGTTTTATGTGGAGGAGACCGGCTCAGCGGGCGGTGCGCGGCCCCGCGTGCGCTGGCCCGCCCCTCCTCACGCGGCACCGCACGCGGGCCCCCGTGCATGCGCGGCCTGCCCCGCCGCCACGGTGCGGGGCCGGGGGCCGGCCCCCCGGGCGGGGCCGGACAGGGGCGGGGCCCGCGCGCGCGCAGAAGCGCGGGGCGAGCACAGCGGCGGTCGCGCAGCTCCAGAGCCGGGTCCGCCTCACGAGCTCTGCACCCCGTTTATTAAGGCACTGTGCAAGTAGTGAGCTGTGCTTGTTAGTAATTAATGGCAGGAGTGTCTTAAGGCAACCAGTAAAGTTAGTTAACATTTCAGTAATGAAAATAGTTTTGCTTTAAACAGCAGTAAATGGACTGAAAATGCAGCAGGTTTGAAGTGGAGAGGCTGAAGATTCAGAGGCACCTTCAGTTGATCTGAGTTTCTTCCTGTAACTCATGAAGTAGTCGAGGCTACAAAAAAAAGAAAGAAGTGAGGCAGTGTCCTTCAGCCCCTCACCATAACAGTCCTGCATTTTAAGAATTTAAGATAATAAAGATAAATCCCTCTTAAATCCTCTAAATCTAAGAATTTGCCGATGTTGGTTTTCTTAGCTGCGTTCTTCCTTTGTGCTTGCCTTCCAGTACTTCTCACCCAGGAGGACATCTCTGATGTCAGTGGTTACTGCAGTGTTTTTGTATCACGGCACAAACTTAAAACCTTTGTCTTCCCATTAAATATCTGGTGATTACATGGGGACTCAAAGACTGAACTATACATTCCCTGGCTCTCCATCCTAACCCAACATTATACTCATTTCATCTGGCAGCAAAACCTCTACTCAAAGAAAACCTCCCTGCTACGGCAGTGCACTTGGAACTCCCAAACCAAAAGAGGTTTATCTAGCAGGAAGCTATGGCAAATGATGAATAGTTCTCAGACAAGGGAGGTGTGTGGAATTTGATCTTACGCTTCTGCAACATGCAGCTAAAAAAAAAAAAAAGCACGTCTGTTCCTGGTTTCTAAGTCCTTGCTATTTTCATAGCAAGGTGGTTGAGATTCAGGTCCTGGAGCTCCCACAGTAGTCCCAGTTTACCATTCACTGCAAACAATGCTTGTTAAAACTGTCACTACTACTTCAAATTAATGCTGAAGTAGTACTTCTATTTGAGTATCCTGGTTTTATTTAAACTATACCAGTCAGTGAATTAACACCATCGATTCCAAGCCTATGAGGAATCCCCACTTTGGTGAAACTTACCGATGATGATGATGATGATGATAATGACAACAACAGCTATCAATATTGCCCACATCTGTGAAAAGAAGCCACACAACACTTACTACAAACCATGCAACAGCACTAACTGCCCCTCAGGATACAGGAAAACAGCCCATTCAAGGGAATTTAGCACCATGTGTCAGCTCTAACAGGGCAAGCAAAGCTTCTCGGTAAGCAAGCTTGATCCACACTTAGAGATGGCAGGTCATGCACACGGACAAAACACAGCAGTACAGTCTCCTTCACACAGAGGTTGTCTCAAGTGAATACACAAGTCTTTGTTACTCACCAAAGATGATTCCAACCTTTGCCAACAGCTACAAGTACAGGAGTCTGAGTGAGCTTCTTACACTTTCTAACACTTCCTGTACTTTAACTCAAGCTATGCATTTTTACACTTTTCTTCCTGTTCCTCAACACCTCAGATTACTGACGTGTTTCCCCACTGGCCATTACAGTGTTACACAAGATCTTGCATAGGGCAGCATGGCCTCTAGTCCAGCTTTTCATTCCTTCACCCAGCCACTATGTCAAGCTTTAAAAAGCTAGATGCTGTAAGTTAAACAACATTGGCTAAAGTAATCTCTTCTTCTACCTTTTGGGATGCCAATTGTAATAGTGTTACCTGTAGTACTGCACAGCATAAGTACACAAGGGAAGGTTACCTTACAGTTCTTCCACCAATACTTCCTTTTCAGCTTGGCTGCACTGGTCTCAAATTGGGAAGCTCCTGCTTGCAGTGCATCAGCACGGTCGTCCAGCTCTGATAACTTCTGATCTCGCTCCAATACCTTGTCCACATTCACTCTCATGATGTCAACAACCTACACCAGTTTAATGCTTACAGTAAGTTACCAGTTGTATAACCCATGGTAGAACATAATCGCAGGCAACAAACAGCAACACATGGTACTCAGTGTTCTCTTTTCAGAAGCAGAGGCTATTACCTTTTAATATATGCAGTCATAAGCTTAAACAAAACCCTGGAATTCACAGTTGGGCTGGAAGCCCCTAATAACTACTTTAAAAAGTCAGTAGTGCCAGTAGTGCTGGCATTCCTTCAAACCTGGGAAATAATTCCTGAGCCGCTTCAGAAGGAGTTGAGTCATATAAACGTGATAGTAAACCATGTCAAAAAATACTCTTGCTAGACAGCCTGGCTTTTGGGCTCCACAAAAATCTAGACACATCATATTTGGCAGTCAGCCTTCATGGCTACTGATGGGAAAAAAGCTTTTTCTCTGTAAGAACAAAGGTTTTTATCTTTAATTTTGCCAAATCCTCAAGCAGCAAGATTGCAGCTAATATTTGGACACTGGTAACTTCTCTCTACTTCCCCTTCATATAATGAAGGGAAAACTGCTTTGGTAAAAATATCTCTTCTAGTTTTATAGGTTTCCTGAAGGAAAACAATGACACTGCTATTGGACTAGACTTTTACCTCATCTACTTGGTGTTGAGTCTGCTGAAGTCGACGATTACTGCCAGCAGCCACATTTGAGCTTCCAGGGATACTGGCTGACCTGCAGTAAAGAAAGTCATCATTATTCATCTGACATTCCTGAGATGTATCCTTGGAATAAATGTAGGGTAGTTTCCTACTGAAGAAATGGTGTTTTAACAGCTGACATTAGGTGCAAGTCACACTGTGTTCCAAATATCTTGTCAACAAACTGCCTGCCATTCTAAGAGACAGCAATGGCTTGCTAATACCACATTTTGCAATAAGGTACAGGACAGCTCCAACCATGGTTCAGGGCTCAAGGAGTCAAGAGTTTAGGCTCAGGGGTGTTCTTGCTTTCCACTATGAACACAAATACTAAGTTTCAAGCTACAGTATTTACAAAAAAATTATATACAAAAACTTAATGGTTATTCTGACTACGTGCTTCTCTGTTGTTGGCTGTCTC